GAGGCTTCTCTGCTCTGTGGATTCTGATGCCGAACAAGGTAAAAAAAAAAAAAACTCAGCTAAAGCTTTTCCCACATTCATGACATTTAGAAGCTTTTTCCAGTTCTCAGTCCAAAATATCTGGTGACTCATCCTCTCCTGGGATGGGGCTGTCTCCTCACTCTCCCCTGGACAATGTCTGTGTTGCTTTCTTGTCATTGGTTCACGCTCCTAGCCTGTTTTGAACTCAAAGTGCCAAAAAACTTTTCTACTAAACTTTCTCTGTACATCCTTGTTCTTTCTACCACTTCTGAATGATCCCATTTTAGATTCTCTTTTGTAACCCCATTCTTCATCTCAGAACCTGAAAGAATAAAATTACATTACACTCTGGAGAAGGAAAACGATGGAATGAGGAAAGAGTTACAATTAAACTACCATAAAGATGTAATACCTAATTGAATTCTTCATGTGACTAAGTCTTCTGCTAAATTTTATTTTCCAATTGTAACACTTTTTAGCTCCAAATTTGTGGTAACCTTACTTTTCTTGGGTGAGGATTAAAAATTAATAAAAATAAATAATAAAATAAAACAAAATAGCACTGCTCTAGCCCTGGGGTGGGGCAGAGTCAGGACAATAGTTATCAGGTCAGAGGCAAAGCAAGGTAAGGGAGGTATGGCCTCTTTGGGAAGGATTGGGGTAGATAAGCAGCCATGTGATGCCTGAGTAGACAGAATAAGAAAACAACCCACAACAAGCTCAATGGACCACATAAAATTCTTTATAACATCTCTGGGAAAGAATGAGTTTTAGAGTGAGTCAGTACAAAGTGAAATGGGAACTTCAAGAGACAAAAAACATCAACCACAGCTCACCTGATCTCCGTGGTACAGAGCCCAGCACCATCTCCTGGTTTTGAAGACCCCTCTTCTAGAGATGGTTCCTGGCAGCCTGTGGAGTAAGCCAGGCTAGGGGAGAAATATCCACTATTAGAGGGCAGCTTCCACTAAAAGAGGTTCCGAGTGGGATCTCTGGGCCAACAGCATCAGCACTACCTGGGAGCTTGTTACACATGCATATTCCCAGGACCCACCTCAGATCTACTGAGAAAGTCTGGAAATGACGCCTGGGAATCTATTTTAACATGTCCCCAGATGAGTATGATGCACAGTCAAGTCTGAGGAAGACTTTCATAGCCAATACCTCACTGTTTGTAGAGAAGTTAATTTTACTAGATGATTATTTGCAAAACAGCTTTTTTTTTTAAAGTTTTTTTTCATTCCAAAGAAATATGTGCACATTATAGAAAAATTTTAAGACAATAATGGTGGTGGTGGGGAGTGTCTCACAGCCCACTAGAGATAACTAAATACTCTTAAAAATACCACAACTCAAACCTCTTATTTTTTTCAGACCAAGATTATGTATTCTTTCCCAGATCCCACCTTCAAGAATTCTACAAAAGAAATGGTTCATTTTGATGACATTCAGAGGTCTGTGGAAGTGGGGAGGTTACAACACTTGGGATCTGAGCAGCCTGTGGGCATGGTGAGTGACGGGAGCAAAACTGGAACACAGTGAGTCCTACCCCCTTTACTCAGACCCCAAAGCTTCAGAAATCACAACAAGATAGCACAGATGTTCCCAAGGATTAAAAGGACATAAATGCTAAATGGCAAAGTTTAAAAAGATATTGATAGAATATTTACACTGCTCAAAAAATACAAAAGTTAATAAACCTTTTAGACAATTACCCATTTCATTAGCAGAAGCTTACCAATTTAAATAAATAGCATGAAGACACCATGCTCTCCTCCTAGGATTTGAGTCATATAAAGATGAGCTAGCTTTTAAAACTTATTTAGCAACCTGCAAGGGCAGCTTTCAATGAAGCGGAAAAGGTCGCAGTGGTCTTTAGGCTATCTAAAAATGTATGGAGCTAAAGTGCTTAGTGGAAAGAGACTTATAAATATAGAGCCTTGGTCTGTCCATGTAATGGAATATCCGTCAGCCGTAAAAAAGAATGAAGTGATACATGCTGCAAACATGCCAAGTGAAAGAGGCCAGACACAAAAAGTCACATATTATAGGATTCCATTTCTATGAAATGTCCAGAACAGGCAGATCCATCGACAGAGAATGAATAGAAACTGCTTAATGGATACAGTGTTTCCTTTAATAAAATGTTTTAAAACTAGACAGAAGTAGTGATTGTGTAATATATATATTTTTTAATCCTCACGCAAGGACATTCCTCCATTAATTTTCAGAGAGAGTGGAAGAGAGAAGGAAATACCTCCTACATGTGCCCCAACTAGAGCCTGGGCCGGGGAGGAGCTTGTAACCGAGGCATGGGGCCCTGACCGGAATCAAACCTAGGACCCTTTGGTCCGCAGTCCAACGCTCTATCCATCACGCCAAACCAGCCAGGGCTGTATAACATTTTTAATGTACTAAAATGCCACTGATTGTTCATTTGAAAATGGCTAATTTTATGTTATGTGAATTTCACCTAAATTAAGGAAATTTTTAATGAATTTTTTTTCTAAAATAATTGAGATAAAACAAAAACTAGAGCTTTGAAAGAAAGGCAAAAATAATAGGAGAAATGTATTCTGAAGGAGATTAAGCTGGATGGGGCAGGGTTTATTTAATGTCTTTAAGTACATGAAGAACTACTATGCAGAAGGTCACGGTAAACATGTTCACCTTAATACAACCAATTCCAACATAATAGAATTAAATAGTAATAAAAGAGAATTTGGCTAACATGCAAAGGGTCTCCACCCGGTTTATGTGCTATTACCATCAACTAGTTTGAAATCTTGTTTTTTAGGTATATTTCAAAGGCATTTAATCTGGAACCCTGGGGCAAACCCAAGCTCAAATCTGTTCTTCCCATAGGTGATTATTCCTGCCCCAGCTCAGGCGAGGGCACAGGCTTCCGCTTACCTTCTGTTTCTGTGGTCTTTGCTGTGAGCTCTGTTCCTCTGGATGAACCCCAGTTTCAGATGGGATTTCAGTGATTCTCTGGCTGCTCCCAAAGGGTTGTGGGTCCAATCCCCAGCCCTGGTCGGGGTGTGTGCAGGAGGTAAGCAATAATGTGTCTCTCTCACATTGTTATTTTTCTCTCTTTTTCTCTCCCTCTGTCCTTCCCTTCCATTCTCTCTAAAAACAATGGAAAAATATCCTTCAGTGAAGATTAAAAACAAAAAACGAAAGCCTGGCCGGTGTTGCTCAGTGATTGAGCTTTGACTCAGGAACCAAGAGGTCACTGGTTCGATTCCTGGTCAGGGCATATGCCCAGGTTTTGGGCTCAATCTCTAGTGGGGGACATGCAGGAGACAGCCAATCAATGATGTTTCTACCTCTCTTTATCCCTCCCTCTCTAAAAATCAATAAAAGCATTTAAAAATAACAACAAACAAACAAACAAAAAGAGTTTGGTTCTGAAATGGTGGGGGACAACAAGGGAACCACCATCACCAAGGGGAACTGGGACCAGGAAGATTATTAGTATATAGAGTTTCCTACTTCAGGTAGTTCACCTCTCCAAACTCTAACTTCATAAGTGTGCTATGCTTGCCCTTCTTCATTCCATTCTAATTATTAATGGTTCCAATCCCATGGATTTTAAATTAACTTCTTCAATTTCTTACCTAACACATTCCCACCATGCTGCTCTTCCCTCTCCAAATTATGCCCAAAACTACAAAGTTTCATTTATATCCCACCTTCTCACTGGGAAACATAACTACTTCCTATTCCAGCCTAGACTCAGCAGCCAGCCAGCTGCTTCCTGCTCAGACCACAGAGCCACGTAAGCCATGGCATTCCTCTGACCCACACTCCTCCATTACTCCATGCCTCTCCCAGACTTTTGATCCAGGTTTCAGTTGCCTTTTTCCACTAAGTCTCTCACAACCTAACCCTCATTTTACTTTTCCTTCTCCTGAGCCTTTTACACCTCCCTTCTCCCAAAGTATACAAGGTGGTTACACTAATTGGATCTCAGACCTAGTCTCTACCTCCACATGAGGATATTGTGTGAAACTTGTCACTTTGTCCCTAACTGACCCTGTTAATCCAGACAGGAAAGACTAACTCCAATACAACTTTGTTTAGCGTACTACCCATGGCTTTGTGTTCTCAATGTACCTTCTAGCAAGAGAGATTAGATTTTAATTCACCAACCTCTCTAATTTTCCTGACCTCCTTAGTAAAGGGCAGTTTTCCTTTCCCTGACCTTGTTTTGGAGAACTGTTCTGAGTATTTTTACCACTTTAATTAGGGTCTCTAAACATTCACTGAATATATGAATGTCTAAGATATTTCAACAAATGTGAAATTTTTCCCATAGACTAAGGGCAAAGGACCAACTAAAGTTAGTATTTTGGTGGGTGGCAGAGGGCTAGTGTACATTTCTCAACTAAGCACCTCTCTAGTAACTAAATACCTGTGCTCCTCAGCCCAACTTCTTATAATCAAAACCACAAGGTTCTGGTTTCCTTTTCTCACCTGTTGCCCAGGCACTCTCTGTACATCCTCAACCAGAGCTACAGCTTCCTCATTTTGTGGACGCTGTTTCTTCACCCAGGTCTGGAGCTCCTCCAGCAAGATCGTAAGAAACTGCTCCAAAATCAGCAGCTCTAGGGTTTTCTTTTGAGTGTATCTTAGGCCTCAGCCACTGACATCAGAGTTCCCAGAGTGTGCTAAAAGCTTCATGGGGGCAGCTACCTCCTGGTAGCAGAACTGCCTGAAACGCTGGTAGGAAGCTTCATAGTCAAGGCTGTTGTTGTGAAGGCTGATTTCTGTCTTTGTGTGGATTCCTTGCTTGGGGATGGGTGTGCTGGGGACTCTCTGTTGCAGTCATCATTTGCTTCATGAACTGGCTCACTGGTTGCCACTTCTACCCTGGGATCAGATTCCATTTCTTTTCATGTCACTGAGAAGTAGTTCTCCTTGATACTGTTATGCCCAGATTTCAAGATCCCCAAAGACCACCAGGGAGCCGAGTCTGATGCAAAAGCAAAGAGCCTTTATTCTAGCTTGAGCCCGGTCTCTCCGCCTCCACCGACGCAGCGGCAGGATGCAAAAGAGCCCCGAGTTCCAGAAGCACAGCAATTTTATAGGGCTTGGGGTCGGGTGGTGGGGTGATGCTCAGGCCACTGAGTTGGCTGATTCCGATTGGTTGGGTGAGGGCTAGGGTCCAGTGACACAAAGACAGGATGGGCTAGGGTCCGGTTACACAAAGACAGGATGCGGTCAGCATACTTTTGGCCTTAGGTTAGTTCCCCTTGCATTCCCATTGGCTGATTTAAGGGTGAGTTGGGTAACTGACACATTCTGTGGTTTTTCTTGGAGAAGGGGTCATGTCAGGGACATAGGTACACAAGATGGAGGACACAGGACAAAATGGAGTCAGTCCTGCTCTGCCCTTTCATTCCCCCCTTGTTTTGGAACTTACGGGCCCAATCATGGGACGGACTGCATTTCTACCTCGTCTTCTGCTTCTAGAGGCCTGTACTGGACGCGCAAAACCATCAACTGAACCGCCCCTATACGCTCTTTGACAAACTGGACTAGTCTGTTGATAATGCAAGGGCCGAAGGTCAACAGCATTAGTAGGATTACAAGGGGTCCGGCGAGGGCGGTAATAAGTGTAGTTAACCATGGGGGCCAGTTAAATAAAGACTTATACCAAGACTGAGATTGCTCCCTTTCTAGCTTCCGCTTCTGCAGTCCCTCTCTTATGAGGGCCATGGATTCCTTAATAACTCCTGAATGGTCAACATAAAAACGACACTCCTCCCCTAGGGCTGCACATAGGCCTCCTTGCTGCATGAATAATAAGTCTAATCCTCTTCTGTTCTGGAGTACTACCTCAGATAAGGAAGTGAGGGATTCTTGCAGATGGGTAATGGATTTTTCAATTCTTTCTATGTCTAGATCAATGGCTGTTCTTAGGGTTTCATAGTTCTTGTCTTGTATGACAAGCGAGGATATCCCAGTTCCTGCCCCTGCTAGTCCCAGCCCTAAGAGCGCGGCCAGGGTTAGGACTGTGACAGGTTCTCTCCTACTCCGGGGGTTAGCAGAACCTAACCTGCTAAATATTTCCTCTTCCGAATGATATACTAGCTTGGGGATTAACTGGACGAGTATGCAAAAACCTTCTTTTGAGGAGTTGAGGATTTGGGAGTGGACGCAGGGAGCGAGGCCGCTGGAACAGGCCCACCATGCATTTTCGGGGGGGAGCAGGTAAGCTGTCCCACTAGGGACTGACAGACAAAGATGTGATTGTTCAGGGGGCACTCGGCCTATGCAAGTACCTTGCCCTATTACTGCCTGGAGGGTTAGTCTTGCGGTGGCCTGCTGCCACCTGCAGGAGCTGGAATTGGAGGCCGTCGTATAATTGCCTCTAATAGCAATACCTTCATAATATGGTGGCCGGACATTGAGACAGAGCCAACAGGACTCGGTCAGGTCGGGTCAGGAAGCATTTAAAACATGATATGCTCCTATGACCATGCTCCACAGGGGGTCTGTGTCAGATGTTGAGGTACAGAACGGGGTAGAGGATGCGGAGGATGCCCAGGTAGGGACAAGGGATGCGGAGGACTATGAGGCCGGGGCCCAGGTGCTCTTGGGCGGGGACGCCTGGGTAGGGACAGGTCGGGGGGCCAGCACTTGGTTAGGCCCTACTCCTGCTGGAGTCTGTTGGTGAGAGGGTGCTGCCTGTACTCGAAGGGTAAATAATCCTCCATGGTCCATAGCCCCGAGTCTAGTCTTATCATAGAGGCGAATCCCCCAGGTTTTACCAGTGTCCCATCCTGTTGCTTTCTTTCCCTGTTCTGTGAAGGATATCCGCACAGGGTTGCATGGGGTGTGGAGACCCTTGCTATATTTCTGACAGGCCGGTGCCGCCGGCCGAGCCATGGTTATCAGGTCATCGGTTTTTGGGGGAGTCCACCAGATGTGTCCAGTCGAGACACACGACCAGGAGGCGCAGAAGTAGTCCTCTGCTCCTCCACATGGGTCCCGGGTGCGCCCCCGCGGAGTCCGTGAGTGCCCGGGACAGACATAGAAATGGTGGCCCTGGGTGAAGCTAGGGTCCCATGAAACATGGATGAGGTCTAGCAAATCTATGTAAAGGTCCGGGTACCAAGTGTTCTTAGGGTGAATCTGGGAAGTCTGATTAAGTACTGTCCCCGAGCTGGTGTCTATGATCTGCCAGGTTAGATTGTAGGGGGCATGGGGACTCCCGGCAGTATGGGCAACAGCGAACAGGGTCAATAGAGTTACCAACATCAGGCGGGTTGTATGCGCCGTAGCTTGAGCTTGAGCGGGTTGCGCTGATTGTGATCGAGGCTCCATTGTGTGACGAGGTCCTCCTGGACTGCAGAGGGATCAGCTGGGAGGACGTGGGTGTGGTGGACCCAGGTTGCGACGCCGTCTACCTTGAGAGCGGTGGGTGTAGTCAGCACTACGACGTAGGGGCCCTTCCAACGCAGCTCAAGGGTCTCCCGGCGGTGCCTCTTGACAAAAACCCAGTCTCCCGGTCTGTACTGATGAGGCGTCGGGGTCAGGCCAGCCTCATAGATGGCACAGAGGCACGGCCAAATGTCCTCATGCGTCCTCTGGAGCCCTCTTAAGAGAAAAGATATGTCTAGGTTTTCAAATTCAGCAAGAAGCTCGGCCTTGAGGTTAGGAATGATAGGGGGTGGCCTGCCAAACATGATCTCATAGGGGTAAAGCCCAGGGTGTAAGGAGAGTTCCGTACCAGGTAAAGGGCGTACGGTAGGAGAGACACCCAGTCCCCGCCAGTCTCTATGGTTAATTTGGTAAGGGTCTCTTTTAGAGTTCTATTCATTCTTTCTACCTGCCCTGAACTTTGGGGCCTATAAGCACAATGCAATTTCCAATCTGCCCCTATAGCCTTGGCTACTGCCTGTGTTACCTGTGAAATAAAAGCTGGTCCGTTGTCTGACCCTATCATAGCAGGAAATCCATACCTGGGAAGGATGTCTTCTAGCAGTTTCTTGGCTACCGTCTGAGCTGTTTCGTGCTTGGTTGGGTATGCCTCTACCCATCCAGAAAAGGTGTCTATAAATACTAAAAGATTTTTATAACCATACTTTCCTGGCTTAATTTCGGTGAAGTCCATCTCCCATTGTGCTCCCGGCCTGGTTCCTCGGAGTCTGGTCCCTCTTTCACTCGCCCTGGCCCTTGCATTCGTAAGTTGGCAGGTCTTGCAGGCAGATACAACCTGATCTATTTTGGTGTCCTGTTGGTGAATCTTGATTCCAGCATGTCGGATTAAATCCTTTAATTTCCGGGCCCCCAGGTGGGTGGACCAGTGCATGCGTTCTAATACTGGGACTCCGAGCCGGTCTGGCAGTATGAGCTCTTTGTCCGGTGTATACCACCATCCCTTTATCTCCTGGGCCAGGGGGAGTTTCCTGATCCGCTGCAACTCCTCCTGGGAGTATTTGGGCTGGGCTGGTAAAACTGGGTCCCCTGGGTCCGGTAGTTGTAGGGCCATGGTGGGGATCGAGGTAAGGGCCACTGCTTTGGCTGCCTGATCAGCCTTTCGGTTACCTCTCGCTACCGAGTCATCATTCTTCTGGTGCCCTTGGCAGTGGATAATGGCTAACTTGGCAGGAAGCCATAAGGCCGTAAGCAGGTCGAGTATCTTCTGCTTATTTTTTATAGTCCGTCCCTCTGCCGTCAGTAATCCCCTCTCCTGATAGATTGCCCCGTGAACATGAGCTGTGGCAAATGCATAACGGCTGTGTAGATGTTGAGCCGTTTTCCAGCCCCCAGCGTTAGCGCTTTAGTGAGGGCGATGAGCTCTGCTCGCTGGGCTGACGTCCCGGAGGGTAGAGCCTCTGCCCATACAGTGTCCATTTCAGTGACCACCGCTGCCCCCGTGTACCTGTGCCCGTCCCGTATGAAGCTGCTCCCATCCATGAACCAAGTGGCCTTGGCATCTGGGAGGGGCCGGTCGGTCAAGTCCTTTCGGAATCCATGTACTTGCTTTAGGATTCCCGCACAGTCATGTAGTAGGGCATCTAGGTCAGGGTCGGGCAGCAAAGTAGCAGGGTTAAGGGTCGCACTAGGCTGGAACCGCAATCTAGGAGGGTTGAGTAGGAGGCTCTGATAGTGGGTCATCCATGCATTGCTCATCCATCTATCAGGAGGCTGTTTCAGGACTCCCTCAATGGCATGCGGGGTTGTGATCCAGATTTCCTGCCCCAGGGTCAGTTTGTCGGCGTCCTTGACTAAGAGCACAGTTGCCGCATAATTCTTAGGCACGGTGGCCAGCCGGAAGCTACTGGATCTAGCTTCTTAGACAGGTATGCTACTGGGCGGCTCCAGGGGCCCAAGGCTTGAGTTAAAACCCCCTTCGCTATTCCTTTGTGTTCGTCTACAAAGAGGTGAAAGGGCTTTGTAATGTTTGGCAGGCCCAGGGCTGGAGCAGCTAGGAGGGCTTTCTTCAACTGGTTAAAGGCAGCCTCTTCTTTCTCAGTCCATTCAAACGCCCTCCCCTCTTTGGTAGCTTCATATAGGGGCCTGGCGATCTCAGCAAAACCCGGTATCCAGAGGCAGCAATAGCCGACCGATCCTAGGAATTCCCTTATTTCCCTTCGGAAGGTGGGAGTAGGGATTTTCAGGACAGTTTCTTTTCTGGCATCTGATAACCGCCGCTGTCCACCCTCTAGGATGTATCCCAGGTAACTTACTCTCTCTCTGCATATCTGAGCCTTCTTCGCAGATGCCCGGTACCCTAAGGCCCCCAAGGTAGCCAGCAGATCCTGGGTCCCCCACTCACAGTCCTCGGCCGTGTCAGCAGCAATCAGGATGTCATCTACGTACTGGAGGAGGGTGAGGCCAGGGTGCTCCCTCCTGTACTCACCCAGGTCCTCGTGTAGCGCCTCGTCAAAGGTGGTGGGCGAATTTTTGAACCCCTGAGGCAACCATGTCCAGGTTAATTGTCCGCTGAAGCCCTCCTCTGGGTCGTGCCATTCGAAGGCAAATAAGGGTTGGCTTCGGGGCGCCAGCGGCAGACTGAAAAAGGCATCCTTTAAATCTAATACGGTATACCAGACTCTAGAGGGTGGCAAGGAGCTCAATAGAGTATATGGGTTGGGAACAGTTGGGTGTATATCCATGACTCTTTTATTTACTTCCCGGAGGTCCTGTACTGGTCGGTAGTCATTCGTGTGGGGCTTTCTGACTGGCAGGAGGGGGGTGTTCCAGGCAGATTGGCAGGGAACTAGTACCCCTAGGCTTCGCAGTCTCCGGATGTGAGGCTGGATTCCCTTCCGGGCCTCCTGAGACATAGGGTACTGCTTGATTCTTACTGGGCCTTCTCCTGGTTTTAGCTCTACTAGGATTGGGGTCCTGTGAGCGGCTAGTCCTACCCCCCGCCCCCGTCTCTGCCCAAGCTGTGGGGAATTCTTGTAGCCATCTGTCTATGTTGCTCTCTATTGGGGACGCCTTCTGGTGGAGGCGGTACTTATCCTCCAGTCTCAGAGTCAGGACCTGGATGGGGTGGCCTTTGCCATCGGTGACCTGAGGCCCCCCTTGACTGAAATTATCTGAGCTCCAATCTTGGTCAGTAAGTCCCGTCCTAATAGTGGTTAGGGGCATTCCGGTATCACCATGAAGGAGTGGGATACCTGGCCCATCCCTAAATCTACCGTTCTTCGGGCAGTCCATGAATACTGGCTCATACCAGTTGCCCCTTGTACCCAGGACTTCTTGTTTGCTAGCTTCCCCTGAGGTGTACGGAGGACCGAATGTTGCGCTCCGGTGTCGACAAGGAAGTCAACAAGGGTCCCCTCCACTCTAAGAGTTACCCTGGGTTCGGGGAGGGGGTCCGAACCCCGACTTCCCTAATCACTCAGTTCATCCAGCTCTAAGACTTTCACTCGATCAGTCTTGCTTCCCTTCCCGCCGGCCTTCTTTGGACATTCTCGGGCCCAATGCCCTATCTCCTTGCAGTAAGCACACTGATCCTTCTGCAGCCTCCACCTCCCTTCCCTGGCGGTTTCCTTACCTCTTTTCCGGTCACTCACAAGCTGTCAGAGGCGGCGGTCCCGTTCCTAGGGAGAGTCCGCGGTGGTAGCCAGCAGAATCCTGGCCAGGTCTCGGGTTTGCTTACTGCTGGCAGCTGCCACGGCATGAGCCTGTTTATCTTTAGGGGGCTCCCGGTTGTTGTACACCTTTTCGGCTACTACCAGCAAGTCCTGCAGACTTTTCTCCCCTAGTCTATCTATCTTCTGCAGTTTTCTCCTAATGTCTGCAGCAGATTGTTTTACAAAGGCCATGATAACAGCCGCCTTGTTCTCGAGAGTCTCTGGGTCCATGGGGGTATAGGTACAGAACGCCTCCGTGACCCGATCTAGGAAGGCCGCTGGAGATTCATCCTTCTCCTGCTGTACATTTCCTACCTTAGCCAAATTAGCCGGCTTCCTAGCAGCCATCCGAAGACCCCCCATTAGAGTCTGGCGGTAGACCCGGAGCCTCTCCTTACCTTCTGCCATGTTGAAATCCCATTCAGGCCTAGTTAGAGAAAAAGAGGTATCTATCTGAGCCTGGCTGGTGGTAGGATTCCCGTCCGTGCCCGGAACTAGTTTTCGGGCCTCATTGAGGATCCTCTCCCTCTCCTCGGTGGTGAATAGGACCTGCAAAAGCTGCTGACAGTCGTCCCAGGTAGGCTGATGGGTGAAAAGAACAGAATCTAGTAAATCAATGAGCCTTGCCGGCTTCTCAGAGAACTTAGGATTCTGAGCTTTCCAATTATAAAGGTCGCTAGTGGCGAAAGGCCAGTAGTGATGGGGCTGATTGCCCCCCTCATCTGGGGGGCCGATGGCCCGCAGGGGTAGAGTCTTAATAGTGGAGTCGGCGATGGAGGCAGACTGCTCTCTCTGAGCCCTTTGTCTGGTATAGGGCTGGCTTCCCACTGGAACTCCTCCGCCCTCCGCTCTCGGAGCAGCGTCTGCTTCCCCAGATGAGAGGGGGGGCTGGGTCCCTCCGGCACTCTAGGGGACTGATACGGGGGAGGAGGAGAAATTAGTTCTTTTTCAGTTCCCCCCTGCAAGACAGGGTAGAGGGGAGCTGATGGCTGGGTGACCTTCTTCTCCTCCTTCTCCATCCCCTGCAAAGCAAGAATAGGTCTCGGCTCCGGAGGGCGTGGGGCCAGGAAGGGCTTAAGCCAAGAGGGTGGGTCCTCCACAAGGTCCTGCCAAGTAATAATGTAAGGGAGTTGATCAGGATGACCCTTCTTGGGCCAGGAGACGACGTCCCTGACCCGGTGGATGGTAGGGAGGTTGAAAGTTCCCTGTGGCGGCCATCCGACATTGAAAGTTGGCCACTCGTTGGAACAAAAAGCCTGCCACCGACCCTTCCAGACCTCCACACTGAGGTCGTTGGCTCTTCCCCTGATCTCTTTGAAATGATCAATCATAATACTTAAAGGAGTAGTCTGAGTCTGTCCCATAATGTCCATAATGGAAGCAAAACCAAAAGCTAGATGACGGCCTCACGCCGACCGGCGGGAGCGACCCGCCTCGTCTCAGATTTGTGAGGGGAATCCCCGTCCCTCCAGAAAGGAGGATCGGAACGTCTTCCGAGTCCTCCGGCCTGTGGTCCTCCAGTGCGTCCACTTAGACCGCGTCGGGCACCACCAGAATACCAGAGATGAGCTCACACAGGACAGAACACACAAACACAGAGACACCTACCATGGTCAGTAGGCTCTCCGGGTCGGGGTCCCTCGTGGGTCTTGGGGATCCGGATGAGCCCCCAAATTTTATGCCCAGATTTCAAGATCCCCAAAGACCACCAGGGAGCCGAGTCTGATGCAAAAGCAAAGAGCCTTTATTCAAGCTCGAGCCCAGTCTCTCCGCCTCCACCGACGCAGCGGCAGGATGCAAAAGAGCCCCGAGTTCCAGAAGCACAGCAATTTTATAGGGCTTGGGGTCGGGTGGTGGGATGATGCTCAGGCCACTGAGTTGGCTGATTCCGATTGGTTGGGTGAGGGCTAGGGTCCAGTGACACAAAGACAGGATGGGCTAGGGTCCGGTTACACAAAGACAGGATGCGGTCAGCATACTTTTGGCCTTAGGTTAGTTCCCCTTGCATTCCCATTGGCTGATTTAAGGGTGAGCTGGGTAACTGACACATTCTGTGGTTTTTCTTGGAGAAGGGGTCATGTCAGGGACATAGGTACACAAGATGGAGGACACAGGACAAAATGGAGTCAGTCCTGCTCTGCCCTTTCAGATACCAATGAAAGGAATCAGAGATGTGAGAGTGACATAGATGTGCAGAATCATAGTTTAAAAGGGCCTCCCTGGCCAGATAGCTCACTTGGTTAGAGCATCGTCCCAATACACCAAGACTGCAAGTTCCATCCCCTGTCAGGGGACATATAAGAATCAACCAATAAATGTATAAATAAGTGGAATAACAAATCGATGTTTCTCTCTCCCTCTCTCTAAAAATCAATAAAACAAGTGTGTTGTTTTTTTTAAAAAAAAGGAAATGGCTCAACTTTGAAGGGAGAATGCAAAAATACAGCATTAAACTGTCCTGTATTCTTTCCCTCTGCTTCTTGTGATTTATTTCTATCCTTTATCTTTACTCCCTTCACAATCTAAGTCAAGGACCCAAAGCATTAGAGATATGAAAAAAACATAGTTTTCTCCCAGCCAGATTTCTCTCTTTTAATGAATTCTTCCAACTCCTCACAGTGTAGTCCAGCTGTCCACTCTGTCTGGGTCTTGTCCCTGCCCTTCCCCACCCTCAAGAAGCCTGGACCCACCTTTCCAATTGTCACTTTCTCTTAAGGAGAGAGTACTATGTGAGTGCCTCTGGATTAACCTCTTTATCACTGTGATACCCTCCTCCCTATCACCACCACCACCACCACACACACAATGTGTATGATAGATGACTGTTCTGGTTTGCTGTATGTTGCTCCCCCCTTCCCCACCCAGCATTCCTTCCCCACTTCTGATAGCCAAAGTAATCTTTTCTGTCATAGAAGGGAGTTTAGGCAACCACCATTTTGGTTTGCGTGACTTGACAACTGCCATTTCGAAACTGCAAAGGTCAACCCCTCCCTTTTTCCTTTAAATTAGCCAATTGTGCAAGAATGTGAGCCTAAACTCTGACCAATCAAAAGTGAGGGAAAGATGGCATGCTTCAGAGATAAAACCCCCGAGTGGACTGCCCGCTCAGTGTGCATGATTACCAAATCCTGTGTTGGTTGCCCACCCTTCTGCAGAAGTAAAGATATTTGCCTTGTCTGGCTCCCAAGTATCCTTTGTGTTCTACTAGGACCCCTGGTTTTGGGGCTCGCCTTCTTTCTAACACGAATTACCAACTGAGGTCCAGCTGAGGAGACATATCAAGGAGGGACAGAAAACGCCTGCAGACCAGTAGGAAAGGTGAGGTTGTGAGAGGGGATGACCCAGCTTCCAGGGGTGGCAGGCCAGCAGGGGCTGAGAGAGAGGAGGCATGTCCTGGTTATAGGAGGGTCTGTTCCCTCAGAAGATAGAGGCCAGGAACCCAGGCTCGTCTCCACAGCTTGCAGCATCAGAGTGTAGACCCGTAGCCTCTGTAACATTCAGCCATGAAAGGCGGCAGGGCTGCTGGCCACAGCAGAGCCTGGAGCCAGCAGACCAGAGCCAGTCAGAGAGAAATCCACAATTTCATTCTTTTTTTTAACCCAGAGCATAGGAGTTCTCATCTGCAGCTAGTCACCCGAGGCTTTGGTGCAGGGAGGGAGGTGCAGACTTGAGGTGCCTAAGGAAAGATTGAGGTGGGAAGCATTACGGGGAGACTTGGAAAAACAACAGCCAAGAGCATTTGGTTGTAGGCACCCAAACTGAAACAGCCATTTTCTTCTGAGAGGAGTTAGCTGCTCCTCCTAGCTGCAGGGCAGGAAAAGAACCCCTGCCCTAGGTTATACACCCTGCCCCATCCTCAGGAGCCCTGCATGCCACACCCTGCATTTTGAGCTTTTCAGAGGAAATAAAAGCAGAGGCCAAGCTTACAAGTTTGAACAGTTTCAAGGACCCCTCAGTGACTGGATTGGGCGAGGGCCATCTGCCCTACTATCCTGGGAAACAGACTGGTACTTTCCCTGAGTAGGAGAAGTGGTAAAAACTCCAGGTTTCCAGCCAACCCTGTTGGTCTTCATAGAAGGATCTCTGTCCAGCCAATGGCAGAGTAATATTATGGGCCACTCACGGAGGAGTAGCTCTGGGACAGGGAAACACCCACCATATCCCTTCCTTGCTGTACCTCCTCCTCAGCAGCACCTCCCCCACCTAAAGCCCTTTCAGAAACAGACCTTTGAGTAACTAAGATTAAAGGCATGCAAAGGCAAGCAGAGGCGGAGCAGGCAAAGAATAAGAATGGCAATAAATAAGTGCCTGTCAATAATAACCTTAAATGTAAATGGCTTAAATGCTCCAATCAAAAGACATTGGGTAGCTGAAAGGATAAGAAAACATGACCCATATATATGCTGTCTACAAGAGACCCACCTCAGCACAAAGGACTCACACAAACTGAAAGTGAAGGGATGGAAAAAAAATTTCAGGCAAATGGAAATGAAAAAAAAAAAAAAAAAAGCTGGGGTAGCAATACTCATATCTGACAAAATAGAATTCAAAGTGAAGGCCATAATAAGAGATAATGAAGGCCACTGCATAATATTAAAAGAATCGATACAACAAGAGGATATAACTCTGGTAAACATATATGCACCCAATACAGGAGCATCCAAATATATTTAAAAAAAAAAACTTTTGGAGGATTTTAAGGGAGGGATTGATAGCAATACAATCATAGTAAGGGACTCTAACACCCCACTGACATCACTGAATAGATCTTCTAGACAAAAAATCAACAAGGAAACAGTGATCCTAAACAACACACTTGATCAGATGGCATTAATTGACATTTTCAGAATAATCACCCCAAAGCTACAGAATATACATTCTTCTCAAGTGCACATGGACATTTTCAAAGACACACCGCATGTTAGGATACAAACTAAGTCTCTACAAGTTCAAGAAGACATATCAAGCATGTTCTCAGATCACAATGAACCTAGAAATCAACTACAATAAAAACACTCAAAAATATTCAAACACATGGAGGCTAAATAGCATGCTATTAATAAATGGGTTACCAAAGAGATCAAAGAATTAAAAACATCCTGAAAGCAGTCCTGAGGGAAATTCATACCACTAGGCCTACCTCAAAAAACAAGAAAAAAGTTTAATAAGTTATCTAACTCTACAATTTAAAGAATTAGAGAACAAGAAAACTCCAGAGTAAGTAGAAGGAAGGAAATAATAAAGATCAGAGCAGAAATAAATGACATAGAGACAATAAATAAATAAATAAATAAATAAATAAAAAAAACCAAGAGCTGGTTCTTTGAAAAGATAAACAAGATTGATGAAACTCTATCCAGACTCATCAAGAAACAAAGAGGGCAAAAACCGGTTTGGCTCAGTGGATA